ATCCATTATGAATCTGCAGCTGGAAATTCTTGAAAACTGTGAAATATTTTCATGATACTTCTTTTTTTCCATTTTGTGGTGAAGAGCCAGTGGGGGCTTGGAAAATAAGAACTAAATTAAGAGCAGACAGATGAGTCAATGGAATATCTCAACAGAGAAAATACCACTTATCGGTCTAGTTGGCCAAGAGCTAGCCTGGTTGCCGTGGTAATGACCCAATGTGATACATACCTTCCAGGTTCAAGATTTGACCCTAAACACACACACACATACACGCATAGATACATACACCCATACACAGACACACATACACATAGGCACACATACACACATACACCCACACACACATAGACACAGACAGACACGCACATATACACAGACACACGCACACATAGACACGCACATATGCAAACACACACACACACAAACCACTGAGTAAAACCTGCCAACAAACCACAAATGCTAACCGGCACCTGTTGTTTCTAAAAAACCTAATGTTTCTAACCACATGACCACTTTTGCAAGGGATTCCATTTGATCGTAGAAAGGAAAATTGTGTAAAAATAAATAGTTGTTTCTCTTTCTTTTGTGGGTCGTGGGTGTCACTGGCAAGGCCAGCATTTGTTGTCTGTCCCTAACTGCCTTTGTACTGAGTGGCAAGCTCAGGCATTTCAATGGGTCTAGGGTAGCATGTGGAATCATAGTCATATAGTACGGACACAGACCCTTCGGTCCAACTAGTCCATGCCAACCATAATCCCAAACTAAACTAGTCCCACCTGCCTGTGCTTCGCCCATATCCTTCCAAACATTTCCTATTCATGTACTTATCCAAATGTCTTTTAAACATTGTAACTGTACCCACATCCACCACTTCCTCTGGATATTCATTCCACACATGGACAACTCTCTGTGTAAAAAAAAAATGCCCCTCATGTCTTTTTTAAATCTTTCTCTTCTCACCTTAAAAATGTGCCACCTAGTCTTGAATACCCCAACCTAGGGAAAAGACATCTGCCATTCACCTTATCTATACCCCTCATGGTTTTATAAACCTCTATAAGGTCACCTCTCAACCTACATTCCAATGAAAAAACTCTCAGCCTATCCAGCCTCTCCCTATAACTCACACCCTCCATTCCCAGCAACATCCTGGTAAATCTCTACTGAACCCTCTCCAGTTTAATATTACCCTGCCTATAACAAGGCTAACCAGAACTGGACAGAGTACTCTAGAAGAAGCCTCACCAATGTCCTGTACCACCTCAACATGACATCCCAACTCTTATACTCAAAGGTCAGAGCAATGAAAGCAATATCAGATCTGGCAAGGACGGCAGATTTCCTTCCCTAAAGGACATTAGTGAACCAGATGGGTTTTCACGCCAATCAATGATGGTTTTCATGGTCACTTTTATGAGAATACTGTTCAAAACCAGGTTTTTATGAATGAAATTTAAATTTCTCTGGTTGCCAAGGTGAGGTTTGAACCCACATCCCCAGAGCTTTAGGCCAGGCTAGAAATATTACGATGTCACTGCCTCCGTCAGAGATTCCAACAGCTAGTGACCCTGACAAAAGTCTTGTCTTACTAACAGCACCAAGAAAATAGGCAGGCAATGGTGCTATTTGTGCGGGAGGCAAAGTATCAGCTTCCCGACAGTGGGAGTAAAGTTGGAAAATTAAGGTTGTGGCAGATTGAGCTTTCCAGAAGCCAGTGGTAGGAACCTACTTTATAATGCATTAGCATGTCACGCAGACTTACTGTGACATCTTTTCACCACATTAAATGAGGTCTTTGTCATTAACTCTGTGACAAACAAGAAACATGAACGTTCAGAGTCATGAGTAATCAAAGGCACTCTTTCTTTTTCTTCATTCATTTGTGGAATGTGGGCATCGCTGGATGGGCCAGCATTTTGTTGCCCATCCCTAGTTGCCCTTGAGAAGGTGGTGGTGAGCTGCCTTCTTGACTTGCTGCAGTTAACCTGCTACGGGTTGACCCACAATGCTGTTAGGGAGGGAATTCCAGGATTTTGACCCAGCCGCAGCGAAGGAACGACGATATATTTCCAAGTCAGGATGGTGAGCGGCTTGAAGGTGGTGGTGTTCCCATGTATCTGCTGCCCTTGTCCTCCTAGATGGAAGTGGTCATAGGTTTGGAAGATGCTGTCCGAGGATCTTCGGTGAATTTCTGCAGTGCATCTTGTGGATGGTACACACTGCTGCTACTGAGTGTCAGTGGTCTAGGGAGCAAATGTTTATGCATGTAGTATCAATCAAGCAGGCTGCTTTGTCTTAGATGGTGTCAAACTTCTTGAGAGTTTTTGGAACTGCAGTCATCCAGGCGAGTGGGGAATATTCCATCACATTCCTGACTTGTGCCTTGTAGTTCATGTACAGGCTTTGAGGAGTCAGAAGGTAAGTTACTTGCTGCAGTACTCCTAGCCTCTGACCTGCTCTTGTAGACACTGTATTTATATTGTGAGCCCAGTTGAGTTTCTGGTCAATGATAACTCCCAGGATGTTGTGGGGGATTCATTGATGGTAATACCATTAAATACCAAGGGGTAGTGGTTAGATTGTCTCTTATTGGTGATGGTCATAGCCTGGCATTTGTGTGGCGCAAATGTTACTTGTTACTTGCCAGCCCAAGCCTGGATATTGTCCAAATCTTGTTGCATTTGAACGTGGGCTGCTTCAGTATTTGAGGAGTTGCAAATGGTGCTGAACTTTGTGCAATCGTTGGTGAACGTCCCCACTTCCAACCTTATGATGGAGGGAAGGTCAATGATGAAGCAGGAGCTGTCTTTTTCCCACGGGGATCCCACCAGAGAGGAGACATCAATGCGTTGAGATTGTGGGTGTTTGGCAGTGTGAGGTGTTTGGAGCATGGCTGATCAAGGGAGGATGGGTTGTGCATCTGTGAGGGTTTGAGGGAGGTACAAAGGGACTACTACAGGGAAGGTCAATATCTATAGATGGGAGGTGAAGCAGGAATGTGGCAAGAGCCAAGACAATGACCCTGAAGATGGAGAGTCGAGGCTCGTAGAGTGAATGTCAAAGGTGATTAAGGGTGGATAAAGGGTGATGGCTCCAAACTCTGCTGTCTACATGAGAGTTACGTTTTTTTTCTATCCTTCAAACACAAAGTTACCCAAAGATAATTAGTGAGCTATGTTTATTCAAAGATTACTGTACCATATGGTACTTGTACTCACTGGAATTTAGAAGATTCGGGGGTATCTCATAGAAGCAAATAAAATCCTGACGGGATTAGACAGGATGGATGTGGGAAGAATAAGTCAAAGGTTATTGGGGATCAGTCAGGAATGGGGAGTTGAAGCCACAATCAGCCATGGTCTTGTCAGCAGTAGACCAGGCATTTGATGGGCCAAACGGCCTACTCTTCTCCTAATTTTGATATTCATTAAAAATGAAGATGATCTGGTCATGTTAACTTTCCAATTTGTAAGTTTGTGGGATCTTTCTATACACAAATGCTTCCTACGGAACTACACTGCAATAGTGGGGCTCTCAAGTGTTTTGGGAAGTTCTGATGCTGTGAAAGGCTTTATATTAGTGGAAGTCCTTTCTTTCTACTCTATTGAGCTGATTAGCAAGAGGCACATAATAGCAAAACTAGAATGTAGGAGATGTTAGACACTAACTGGGGAAAGTCCAAGCTGTAGGTGAGATGAGAGCTGACATTTCAATTCCAGTTCTCACTCTGTATGACTAAACGATGTATATAGCCTGTGGCCTGTGCTATTGGCCTACGATTCCCTCTGGGGGATTGTCACTAAACTACAGGAGTGTCTAAAATGTAGAGTGTGGGCTACATACTGTCCCCTAATCACTGACATTCTCAACTGCCAAGGCCAGGAGACTTTACATTTTCCACTTGCATTTTCTCCACATTAACTAGCAGCTACCCTTCAAAAGTTTTTAACAAATTGTAAAATGCTCAAGGACATAGGAACAGGAGGAGGCCATTCAGCCCTTTGATCCAGTGCCACCATCCACTAAGATTATGGTTGATCTGTAACCCACCTGGACTTTATATACCTCTGATTAACAAAAATCTATCAAAATTTCAACTTTGCAATTAATAATTGATCAAGCACCGATTATTTGTGGAAAAGAGTTCCAAATCTCCACCACACTCAGTGCACTTATGTGTTTCCTAATTTCACACCTGAAAAGTTTGGTTCTAAATTTTAGATGGTGAGCCCTGGCCCTGTACTCCCAAACCAGGAGAAATTATTTCTCCCTGTTTATTTCCATTAGTTTCTCTTAATATCTTGAAGACATCAATCAAATCACCTCTAAACCATCTGAATTCCAGGGATAACAATCCTGGTTTGTTTAATCTCATCGTGCATCCAAACACTTGGAGTCCAGGTATATCTTCATTGAACTCTCCAAGGCCAAAATATCCTTCCTGAGATGCAGCACTCTGAACTGACTGCTCTCAATGTCATCAGGTGTGGCCTACCTAGGGCTTTATACAGCTGAAGTTTTGGGACTTCCTGAGGTTTTGGAAGGTGCTACATAAATACACTTGTACTGATTCTACATGCAGAGTCGTGCAACTCCAGCCATTTATACTCGGTAAGATGCAGCTTTGTAACATGATTGCAAGGTTTGTTCCAGGGTCGTGAAGCCCTTACATGACACTTATCCTTCCAGAAAGTGGAGGATGGGGGTTTGGGACATTCAAATAATGAAGCTCAATGGCTTCAGCTCCTCATCAAGGAAGAATGACGACCTAAGTAGTGCATTTTCCTGCTTACCCGAAGTGAGATCCATTTGTCAATGGACAGTCAGTACAGGATCCTTCTATGAAAATGACAGGGTTCGTCAAAGGAAGAAAGATTTGTATTATATCTTTCACAAACTTAAGACACCCTGAAACAATTTACAGCTCATGAGGCACTGTTGAAGTCAGGCAATTGTAATGTATGCAAGCTTCCACAAACAAGACAGTTATGAATAGGTCATTTTTTGTCTGATCTTTATTGACAGACCGTATTATACAAGTCACGGAATTAGAAAGTTCTGGCTCTTTTTTTGAACGGAGTTGGGTGATTTTTGTTTTATTTACTTTCCCATGAAACGGCAGAGGGGACTTCAGTTCAATATCACAACTGTAAGGTTTTGTCTCCAGATCCTCTGGTGCAGACTCTGGGTGTCTCAGCCTGGACTTTTCTGCTCATTCATTGGTCAGAACATTGAATAAAGGAGTTGGGACGTCATGTTGCACCTGTAAAGAACATTGGTGAGGCCACTTTTAGAATGCTGTGTACAATTCTGGTTGCCCTTCTATAGGAAGGATATTGTTAAACTTGAAAGGGTTCAGGAAAGAATTACAAGGACGTTGCTGGGACTGGAGGGTTTAAGTAATAGGGAGAGGCTGAATAGGCTGGCGCTATTCTCCCTGGAACATCGGAGGCTGAGGGGTGACCTTATAGAAGTTTATAAAATCATGAAGGGCATGAGTAGGTGAACAGACACGGTCTTTTCCCCAGGGTGGGGAAGTCCAAAACTAGACAGCATAGATTTAAGGTGACGGGGAAAGATTTAAAAGGGTCCTAAGGGGCAATTTTTTTCAAGCAGATGGTGGTGTATGTATGGAATGAGCTGCTGGAAGAAGTGGTAGGGGTTGGTACCATTACAACATTTAAAAGGCATCTGGATATGTACGTGAATAGGAAGGTTTTAGATGAATATGGGCCAAATGCTGGAAAATAGGGCTAGATTAATTTAGGATATCTGGTAGGCATGGACGATTTGGATCGAATGGTCTGTTTCTGTGCTGTATGACTGTTTCTAAGTGGACAGCTTAATCATTGCATGAGAGAAAATTACCGATATTTGCAAAGTAAGGACGTTTGAGATTTGGGTCAAAACTTGATGTTATCAGTAATGAGAGCTTTCTCTCTCTACTCCGTGGATGTATAAGTACACTTCATCACTGTAATAAATGGCAAGTGGACGTGATGTCGTACTTTACCAAGAGTCATCCCATTACCGAAACAGCGCGTGCGGATTCTCGTTTACACTGCACATTTGGAACTTATATTTCAAATGTGTATTCAACACAGAACCTTATTTGAAATTCTTCATGAGTCACCACTGCCTGACCTACACATCCCCTTCCCCCAACATCGTTTTTGAATGCCTGATTCATATGTTGTTAATTCACAAGTTATAATCTCAGGAGGCCTGGTGGCTGAGGAGGAGAGTTTGTCATTTGAAGACTCGCTTGACGTCCAATAGCCAAAGAACCAAAAGTCCCATCAGAGCATAACAGCCCAGACATTATATCAGACTCATGACTTGCTCATGATGGGACTTTCCCACATCAACACTGACCTACCAGCAACTTTGTTGTGCACAATTTCATAGCTGAAGGATGTCTCTGCTGGTATCATTATGCTCTTGTGGTCCAGCACGGTATGCGTGCAAGAGAAGTTAGTGTGATCAGACTCTCCCGCTGAGGAGGAACCATTGGATAACATTTCCTTATTAAGGAGACACAGAAATCCTAACATCCTTTTTTTCAGAATGGGACAACCAGTAAAGAATGTACAAAAACAGAAGTTGCAGGTCTAGCAGCATCTGTGAAGAAAAATCATAGTTAACATTTCGGTCCGACAATCCTTCCTCAGAATTGCTAGTGGCCAGTCTATCCACAGAAATGGAAACAGATGTTGAGGAAGGGAAGGGAGGAATCAGAGATAGACCAAGGTGAAAGTGAGGGCAGGGTGGAAATTGGAAGCGAAATTGACAAACTTTTCCAACTCCGGATGAGAGAGAGAAACAGCACAGATGATATCATTGATGTATTGGAGAAAGAGTTGTGGGTGGGGGGCTGGAATAGGACTGGAACAAGGAATGCTCCACGTACCCTGCTAAGAGACAAGCATAACTGGGGCCCATACAGGTACCCATGGCCACCTGTCTGACCTGAAGAAAATGGAGGATTTAAATGAGAAGTTGTTGAGGGTGAGGACAAGCTTGGCCAAGCAGAGGAGGGTGGTGGTGGGTGGGGTTGTTTCAGGCCTTTGCTCCAGGAAGAAGTGGAGAGTCCTGAGACCATCGTAGTGGGGAATTAACGTATAAAGGGATTGCACATCCATGGTAAAGAGGAGGTGGCTGGAACCTGCAAACTGGAAATTCTGAAACTGGCGTAAAGTGTCAGAGGAATTACAGATATACATATGCAGGGACTGGACCAGGGGATAGAAGACTGAGTCAAGGTAGGAAGAGATGGGTTCTATGGGGCAGGAGCAGGCCGAAACAATGGGTCTGTCCAGGCAGACCTGTTTGTGGATTTTTGGAAGGAGGTAGAAGCGAGCTGTGCAGGGCTGGGGGAATATCAGCTTGGAGGCAGTGGAGGGGAGATCATCAGATGAAATGAGGTCAGTTACTGTAGTTGATACAATGGCCTGATGTGCCACAGTGGGGTCATGGTCCAGGGGAAGATAGGAGGAGGTATCTAAGAGCTGGCGCTCAGCCTCTGCAATGTAGAGGTCAGTACGCCAGACTACAACAGCACCATCCTTATCGGCAGGCTTAATAACAAAGTCAGGGTTGGATCTAAGTGCATCACTGAAGTGCAGTCACTTCAGAGGGAGATTGATTGGATTGGGTGAGGGGGACAGAAAAATTGAGGTGACCAATGTCACATCGACTGTTCTCAATGAACAGATCAAGTGCAGGTAAAAGGCTGGAGGGAGGGGTCCAGGTAGAGACAGTGTTGGAACTGGGCGAAGGGATCTGTTGGATGGGGAGAGGACTCTTTTCCAAAGAAAGGAGCATGCAGGTGAAGACGGCAGAAAAGAGTTCAACATCATGGCACGCCCGAAATTTGTTAAGGCGGGGATGCAGAGGGATAAAGCTGAGACCTTTGCTGAGTACAGAACATTCAGCTTTGGAGAGCAGCTGGTTAAGAGGGATGGTGAATACCCGACAGGAGGTGGGGTTGAGGGACGGCGTGGAGTCAAAGCGAAGAGAGTGGAGGAAGGTGCCAGAGAGCCATGGGTGTCTCTGAGTTGTTGCATCTTGTGGGCCTTGGTGCCTGAAAGGAAAAGAAAAAGTTTGTGTGAGCTCAGCAAATGAGCCGGAGTATGAAATTGAACTGCAGAGTGGTGCAACCCCGAGCCAGTGTGTTGCGATACTGTTGGAGAGAGAGGTAGAGAGTGTGCATGTGACGCCGCATGGCACTGAGTGTGGATCTCAGGATGAGGCGAGAGCAGCTGTCTATGGAATGTTGAACTTCACAGAGATACCTGTGATCCTGGGTGGATTCAAAGCAGGAGGGATGAAACTTGAGTTGGAGTCTGAGCCAGAAGCAGTCACTGAGGAATGTGATATGGCTGTGGAAACAAGATTTTACAAATACCTGGTCAAACACCAGGAGTGACAGTGAAATTAATGTCAGTGGACAAGAGAAAAGTTCGGAATGGAAATCCCATCGGAGAGAGGAGCAGAACTTCTTCAAGGTGGGCATGTCTAGAAAGGATGTGGCAGTGAGTTAAATAATAAATAAATAAAATTAGTAAGTAAATAAATAAATAATACATAAAGAACTGCAGATGCTGTAAATCAGGAACAAAAGCAGAAAAAAGCTCAGCAGGTCTGGCAGCATCTGTAAAGAAAAATCAGAGTTAACGTTTCGGGTCCGGTGACCCTTCTTCAGAACTGAATGTAGGTGCTTTGAAACTGGAAGAGACCATTCACCCCTTCAGTAAGGTCCACCCTCTTCCCAGACGCTCAGTAGCAGCACAGGAATGTTATCTGTTTTCTTTCCCTTTACCCAAGACCCCTCCCACCCCGGTTATACTCTCTTCCATCCTCTTCCGTTGGGTGAAAGATTTAAAAGTTTGAATACATGTACAAACAGATTCAAGAGCAACTTCTTCCCTGCTGTCATCACAGTTTTGAAGGAACCTCTCAAATGTTAGTTCTGATCTCTCTCTGCACCTTCTCTGCCACTGTAACACTGTATTCTGCTACCCTGATGCACTTTGTATGGTACGATCTGCCTGTCAAGCATGCAAACAACACTTTTCACTCTATCACAGTACATGTGAGAACAATAAATCAAGCAATCAAGTCTCCGACAGACAATTGTGGTGTCTTCTGCAGGCACTGTTGACGTGTACTGAAAATTGCATGGTGTACTTTGTCCATATGAGACTTCCATAATCACAGGCACCAGCAGAGAGAGAGTCTGCTGCAAAGAGAATAATAAGTAACAAAGGATCCAAGTTTGACCACTTTTGCAATTCTAATTCTCAATGCATCTGACTGATTATAAATCCCAAGACCTTCAACACTATCACATCTACTGAGACCAGCTCACCTGAAACCTTATGTGGGACATTCTCAATCTATAACAGCAGGAGGTTCTACCTCAGAGCCATTAGGATTTTGAGATTGGTTTTCTATTCTAAGCCCCAACCTCTCCCATGCAGAAGATCCTGTAGTACTACCTTGAGGAGCAAGGAAGTTGCCCCTGAAATCCTGATCAATATTTATCCCTTAAGCAACATGAAAAAAAATGAACTGGACATTATCACAACGTTGTTTGTGGGATTGTCAGTTACGTTTCCAATGTTAGAATAGTGTCTACACATTAAAAAAAGCTTTGTTATGACTCAGTAGTATTATCACTGGACTGTTAACCCAGAGACCCAGGAATGTTCTGGGTTCAAATCCCACCATGGCAGATGGTGCAACTCAAATTCAATAAAAGAAAAACTGGAATCTAGGGATGACCATGAATCCATTGTTCATTGTCAGGAAAACACATCTGGTTCACTAGTGTCCTTTAGAAAAGGAAACTGCCATCCATACCTGGTCTGGCCTACATGTGATTACAGACCTACAGCAATGTGGTGGACTCTTAATTGTCCTCTGAGCAATTAGGAATGAGCAATAGCCAGCGATGCCCTCATCCTGTGAATGAATAATAAAAAAGTTGGGTTGTCATGCATAAATCCAAGACTTTTGGGCCCTTCGTTCTTCAACAAAGGTATTTTGTTAGTTATTCTTGAATGCAAAGGCACAATTTGCTTATTTAACAAGAAATGAAATGTTATAGCCAGCATCTTGGCTTTTCCACTTCAACTTATGAACCTAGAAGGTTTTTTTTCCGAATAACTTCCTTTTGTAGAGTTATGTTTAGTGATGGTTCCATTCCTTCACATAGAACACCTACGCTTTCACTTCCATCATCACTTTAAAAACCAATGC